TAAATCTTCACTGGCAATCACATTCTCCCACCACCGATTAAGCCTAAAAGCGCGGCAGTGGCTCCGGCCACGCCCGCGTGCACCCCGGGTAGGAGCCAGGCAGAGGACAGATGCCTTGCGCAAAGGAGTTCTCCCCCCATTCCGAGTGGGATAAAGGGTCGGGTCTTGAGAGGCCGGAATTACAGAAGGGCAGTTCTGAGAGGGGCTACGAAACCCGCCGGGATCTGACCTGCCCAGTCCACAAACGGAGCGAGCGAGCGGATTTAGGCCACCAGCCCTGCCCCCACCAGCCCGGCCCCCACCCCCAAAAAAGTGCACGCGAGGGCTCCAGAACCAGTGTTCCTCCGCTAAATTAACCCCGTCCAAGCAGGACCTGCGCTGGGAGGGCCTCGCCTCGCCCTGGGCGTCCCCACTTAACCCTTCAACTTCTGCCCCTAGGCGGGGGTCGGCCATGGCCACGGGAACCCGCGAGAGTGCGGATCAGTCGCTGGGCCCCGCCACCGCGGACCCCGGGAGGGCTCCGGACGCGGCCGGGTCCCTCCTGCCCCCAGCACCCCAGCGCTAGAGGTCAGGATCTAGGCCCTTTCCTTCCTCCGCTGTGGACCCCGCCCTCTTCCACGCACCCCACTTTTCCCAGTCGCTCAGAGGCTCCGCAAGCACGCCCTCCAGCTGGTCCAGCGGCGCCCCGGCGTCACCGACCAAGTGCGCCTGCGCCAACGTCATCACGCTGAGGACGCTCGAGTGGGTGGAGCGCTCCGTCGGGGGCGGAACTTGCTGTTCTGGGGGCGGGGCCTGCGGGGGCGGGCGCGGGGTCACGTGTCGCGCGCGGGGTGGAGGGTAGAGGGCGCGGGCGGCCGGTCGCTGCTGCGGGTGGGCTGCGCCGCCCGCGCGGTCTCGAGAGGGCAGCAGTTGGGGGGCAGGCCAGGTCTGCGCACCGGCAGGTAGGAAGCGGAGGCGGGCTCGTGGGCGGGCAAGGGTGTCACCGAGGCCGGGTGCGGGGGGAGCAGAGCGGGGGGTGACCCCTCACGGCTGGAGCGTCCCCACGAGGGCGCGCGGCCCGGGAGTGACCCCTGACCCGTCCCGGGCGTGTGGGCCTCTCTCGGGTCCTCGGGAGTCTCGACGGTTCCCTGCGCCTCCGGGGTTGCTGACGGGGCGGGAGGAGGGCACCGGGCGGGGCATCCAGCATCCCGGACCGGTAGTCACTGGACGATTGATTAGGACGGCAGCGGGGTCACGCCCCTGCTCCTCCCGCTTTGACCGGACCGGGCCGTGGCCTGGATGGCTGCTGATAGAGCTCCAAACCCTGAAAAGGCGATTGTAGTTACAGTGACAGACTCCAGAAGGTTCCAAAGTTAACTCCAGATTCCGATCGGTAGTCGTACGGAGTTCTCTCGTGTTTACCAGAGGACAGGATGTTGCTTTCTGCTCCTTAGGTTACGTTACTCCCCCAGCTCGTGCTGCTGCTTCGTGTGTCTGCGTGATCGCTTACGAACTTACCTCTTACACCTACTTCCCGCGCCCCATCCCACAAATCTTTTCTTCCTGTTCTTTTCCATAGCATTGTAAGCTCTTGAGCTCTTTTAAATGTGCCCCAAGTCCCAAGTGTCTTTGCTTTTGTACTTGTTTCCCTTCTTGTCCTGGAGGATCCATCTTCCATCACATGAGTTCCCTCACCTTGACCTGCCTGCCACTCTGGCCTCCAGGTGTTGGGCTGGTGCCTGCACATTAATGACCTGTTGAGTAATCTAAATTCCGCCTTGAAGTGGAGCTCCTTCCCCCTTCAAAACCTGCTTTTCTTCCTGTGTTTCTCCAAATCATCCACATTTAAATCCTTATCCCACTTGCTCAACAACATTTCTGTGCACTTGATAGCTTGATATGTGCCAGTCACTAAGACCATTGGTATATAATGGTGAGCAAGTAAGTCAGGAGCAGTAATTCTGAGACTTGAACTCAAGGCCTGGGAGCTGTCCCTTAGCTTTTTCACTATACCCCTTGAGCCACAGCTCCACCTTCCAGCTTTCTGCTGGTTAAAGTAAGCATCTCACTGGTCACAATAGCTAAACGGTGGGATTAGCCAAGGTGCCTACAACAGATAAAGAAGATAGTGTACATTTATGTCAAGGAAGATTTCTCTGCCATAGAGAAAACTGAACTTGTCATTTGCACAAAAATGAATGGAACTGGTGGACATGTTGAGGGAGAGGAAGCCAAGCTCAAAAAGCCAAATGCCCTGTATTTTTGCCTATATGTGGAAGCTAGACCTGAAAGGCACATAGACATAGAGTGAGATGAGAGAGACATACATACATACAGAAGTGTAGACACACACAAGACATGATTCTAACTATAGGCTTACATAGGGGGATGAAGGGAAGCAAAGAAAGATGGATTGAGAATGAATAATTTCAAAAATAAAGTGCAACTGTGTGTGGATGGCATAAAGAACATACTGACAGCTGCTGATCAATAGGGGATTGGGAGGTGGGGAAAGAGAAAAGAACACATGGGTATTGTGAGAAAACATAGTACATGCGTGTCTGAAGTAACATAATGAAGCCCCATGGTGCAATTAAAAAACAAAAAAATGAATGACACAAAAGTGAAACAAACAGGCTTGAGGGCCAGCCAGCCGAGGGGAGAGGCTAACCAAGGTGGATGGGGGGGGGGGGGGAGTGGGAATAGTGCAAGTAGTTTATTTGCATGTAGGAAGAAAGAACAATGGAAACCGTTTTTAAGGAGGGGGAGTGGGATGTGAAGAGTGATGGAGGGGATGAGGTTTATATGGCTACATTGTAGGCATATGTGAAAATGTCACAAGGATGCAAGGAAGCCCCCCCCCACCAAATGTATTCTAGTAAAAAATAAAATATTGGCAAGGATATGGAGCTGGAGCCCTCATACATCAGCTTTGCTGGTAGCATTGTACTAGACACAGTTACAATGGAAAAATAGTTATCAAAAAGTTAAACATGTATCTTCCCTGTGATCCAGCAGTTCTACTCCTGGGCATTTACTGAAGAGATAGGAAAAGACATACAAAAATACCTATAAAATGTGCATAGCAGTATAGAATAGGCAAAATACTGGTGGTCCCCCAAAGATGCCCATGCTCTAGTGGCTGAAACCTGTGATTATGCTATGTGGCAAAAAGGACTTTGCAGCTGGAATTAGTTTACAGACACTAAGTAGGGAGAATGTAGGATAATCACATTCCCTTACAATAGAATAGCAAAGAGAAACAGACATGGCTACTGGGAAAGGACAAGCTATTGGTTCTGAGATGTAGGCCTACTCTCAAAGACCCCAGAGGAAGGATCTAGGAGGTAACAGTGGCCTCGGACCAGCTAGGAAATAAGGGCCTCAGTCCAATACCTGAATGGAACTGAATTCTGCCTGAGAATTGAAGGAACCAAACTGAATGAACCTAGAAATAAGGTTTCACAAAGAAAATCAGCCCTGCCAACACCTTGGTTTCAATCTTGTAGTAGAGAAGGTAAATCTAGAGTACTGTCTAGGAAGCTGCATTTTATCAAATACCTCTACAAATAATCTTTGGGTGACATTTTGATAGTACTTTTATACGTTATTCATTAATAACATATATATAATAACATGATATATAGATGACTTACATTTATAAATTTATAAATATATAAATTTATAAATATAGATTAGATCTTTCTATTGAGCCTACATTGCTTATTAAGCCATCTTCCATGAATAATAAGAACCTTAATCTCAACATGTTAAAATAGGGAATTCATCCTTTGTGACAAGTCCATTTTTTTCCAGTATTACCTTTCTATGGCAGAGTTTATCCATGCATACTCAGGAATTCAAGTCAGAGATGGAGTCATATTTAGCTCTTCTCACTTACCCATTCTCCTCTATTTTTGGGGGGAGGGGGTCGGTTGTGGGGCTTGAACTCTGGGCTTGGGCACTGTCCCTGCATTCTTCTGCTCAAGGCGAGCGCTCTAAAACTTGAGCCACAGTGCCACTTCCAGTTTTCTAGTGGTTTATTGGAGATAAGAGTCTCACAGGGGCTGGGAAGGTGGCTCAGTGGTAGAGTGCTTGCCTTGCATCCATGAGGCCCTGGGTTCGATTCCTCAGCACCACATAAGCAAAAAGAAAAAAGCTGGAAGTGGTGCTGTGGCTCAAGTGGTAGAGTGCTAGCCTTGAGCTGAAGAGCTGAGGGACAGCACCCAGGCCCAGAGTTCATGCCCCGTGACCGGACCCCCCAAAAAAAAATAAAAAAAAAAAAGTCTCACAGACTTTCCTGCTGGCTTTGAACCCGATCCTCTGATCTCAGCCTCCTGAGTAGCTAGGATTATAGGCGTGAGCCACCAGCATCCGGCTAAGATATTAATATCTCTCACAAACACTGATGCAGCAAAATACTAGAAAGTCAAATCCAGCAGTATGAAATGAATACTTCCATTCACATAAACCCTGGTAGTCAAATATCTATAGCTGCCTTCTTTATGATCACTAAAAACTGGAAACAACTCAGATAACCCTCAGCAGGAGGGTGTACAGACCAGTATATTTGCTCAATGGAAAGGAACCAGTCAGTCAAAAGAATAAACTGATACATATAAAAACACAGGTGAGTTTAGTGTATTTTTCTAAGTAAAGGAAGCTGGACTTGGGCTAGGTTCTGTAGAATCCTGTTGACATGACATTTTTATAAAGGAGAAAACCATGAGGACAGGACCCGTGGCTGGACTACAGCGACACACAAAACATTTGATAAAACATTTATATCTTGAGTATGTTTGTTCATACTCTTGGATCTGTACATTTAAAAGGCTGAATATTGTTCCGATAATATTATTTCCTACTATTGAAATCATTCCTTAAGTGAAAATTATCACCACATTTTCCATCCTGACCTTGAGAGAGAACATGCAATGCTGTTTTTTCCCATTTAAGACAGGTTTATTTTAGCAGCTCAGTTTTGGTATATTTAACTTTCTGTCCTGCATAGGTGGATGTACATTAAACCTCATTTGCTCTTTGCTGCTACCTGGCCTGGAACAGAAACAAAGCATGCTTGGGGGAAGCTTGACAGCATGTAACTGCTCAACAGAACTTTACTTCGATTCAGACTTTTGTGCCTGGTTTTCCTCTTGCTCTTTCTCAAATCCTGAACAGACAAGGGATGTTCCCTTGGGATACTGGGCACAGCACTTGCGTAGTTGTTGGATGGCAGCCTGACACTTTGTTTCCATGTAGTTGTTGGCTTGTAAACACTTCTGGATTTCACAGGCTTGTTTCTGGCATGGATCCTTTTGGGACATATTGTGAAAATGAATATAATGTTTCTTGGGCTAATGATTCTACTTCAAGAATAGCTAAGCTACAAGTTCTCGGTCTTCTACCCTGGTCCACTCAAGCTGAGATCAGGAGGCAAGCCAAGGACTGGCCAAGGAGCATCTGGGCCAAAGTTGCTGGAGACTCGAGATTCAGGGGCTGTGACTTGGAAATAAAACAAAATAAGATAAAAATCGTAACTGTTTTTTCGACTGACTTTTCAGAGTGCCCCAGGTTCAAGGGCTGGGGTTTGTGCCAGTGTTGTAAGGTTGTCCCCGAAGCAGTGGGCCACCCACAGCCCTCCTTGGCAGGTGAGTAGAACAAGAGTGCTGTAATGTGGAGGAGAGAAGTCTCACATAACATGTGGCTTGATGCCCTCCTTCCTTCCCTTCCTTTCCTCCCCTGATACATAGTTCAGGTCCACTAACTAAAAGAGACACGTGTGTGTGTGTGTGTGTGTGTGTGTGTGTGTGTGTGTGTGTGTGTGTGTGTGTGTGTTGTGAGGCTTGACATCAGGGCCTGGGCACTGTCCCCGAGCTTTTGTGTTCAAGACTAGCACCCTACCAGTTGAGCCACAACTCCACTTCCAGCTTTTGTGGGGTATTGTAGGTAAGAGTCTCAGACCTTCCTGCTCAGTCTGGCTTTGAACTATAATCCTCAGATTTCAGCCTCCTGAGTATTTAGGATTATAGGCGTGAACCACCAGTGCCTAGCTCAGAGACCACATTTTTAAGAAATGCTTACAGATTTTGTCAGGAATGACCTGTTCAAGAGAATATAAGCAGCTCTGCTAACTCCTTCCCTACACATGAAGTGCTTTAGGTGAAATGTAATAGAAGTTTTCAGAGGAAGAAAAGAGGACAGAGGTCATGACACTGAGGGGAATGTTGAGGAAACTATAGAGCTCTCAGAACGTTTTTGTTCTTACCGTGCATGTAAATCTAACGTCAGCTTTAGCTTTAACCGTGCATCTGATGGTTTTGAAGAACCACAATTTCAAGGACATAGGGGCCAGGAAATTGCCTCTTTCTAGACTAACTGAAAGGAGCATGAAAATGTGGAAATTGGGATTCTAAACCCATTTCATTGTGAGGTTGAATTCACCATGTCCTCATGGTTCTTGGAATCCAACATTTTGGAAACAGTTTGGTGTGGCAGAGATAAAATTTGAAACTTCTCTGTAGGCCAGAGCACAAAGAATATTCTTGTGTTTTGATATCTGATGTACTTAAAAACAAAACAAAATAGCCGGGCGCTGGTGGCTCACGCCTGTAATCCTAGCTACTCAGGAGGCTGAGATCTGAGGATCGCGGTTCAAAGCCAGCCCGGGCAGGAGAGACCATGAGACTCCTATCTCCAATAAACCACCACAAAACCGGAAGTGGCGCTGTAGCTCAAGTGGTAGAGCGCTCGCCTTGAGCTGAAGAGCTGAGGGACAGCGCCCAGGCCCAGAGTTCAAGCCCCATGACTGACAAAAAAAAAACAAACAAAAAAACCCTAGAGATGTAAGTACATGAATCTGACCCTTGCGGAGATTTGAGAATCATAAACTTACAGGGAAAGTTCTATGAGAAACATACTGCAATCACTTAGCCAAATAGTGTAGCCTGAGAAAAGCCGAGGCACACGGAAGGACCCTATTGGAAAAGTAATGTATTAATAGTTTAGTGGAGGCCCCTGCAGAGCCAGGCTTTAAGGTCTGTGAAGGCCGGAGGCTCTGCTGAGGTTTATATATCTCATGTTCTTGTCCCTGATGGTCAGTAAATATTTCCTGAGTGAATAATGAGGAAGGGTGATCCTAGAGGTGAGAATAAAGCCAGAAGTCAGGGTGTCATCAGAGTTAGAGAGGGAGAGAGCTACCCATAAAGGAGATTTGGGAAAGGCCTTGCGTGCGGTCAGCGGCTCTCATAGCCCGTGTTAGGGTCGAAGGAGCAGTGCATTCATTTACTCTGCATTTTTAGCTCAGCATTCTCCAAGAACCAAACAAGTCTGTATACAGCTTTGCCTTGGTTTTCTGAGCACTTACTTTTTTTCAGTCTTGATTTAATTTTCACAAGTATTTAAGTCTCACAGACAAGTAATAGCAACATATTAAACAAGAAAATTTAAAAGAATGACCTTTAAAACAGTAACCTTCACAAGTTTACCTGTTGCTCAAATAATTTGCTTAGTCACCAGTTGATGGATGGAATCACAATTAAACAATGTAAAAGCTCATGCAAGTAACTTTCCCCAACCTGGGTAAAGCTGCTAGAAACTTTTAGTATGTTAAACCAAGGGACTATTTCTCACATCATCCCTTCAAGCATCGTCCTTCTTTTCCTTTGTAGTAAAAAGTCTCAGTCTCCAAAGACAATCTGATAGAATTCTAGAATTCTGAGTTGTTATAGAAATGACTGCATCATATTTAGAGTGCTTTGCTTAGCTGATGAATTCACTGACGACAGGTCTTTGGAATGAGATGCCAACACTTAAATTTAAAAATTCTGAAACAATGTCCTGTGCTACCCTGAAGGAGTTAGAGAAAAGCTAACTACCTCTATGAGATGTAAACGGGTTCTCTAGCATCTCTTCATGTTTGCAGGGCAACAATTGTAGGGCATGTTTGTGGGCATATCCATCCCACAGGCCACCTGAGGCCTGCAGAATCATTTGCTTCCTGACATGATAGAGATGTAAGCATCTCCGTGGCTGTCTGTAGCCCAGCTACTTGTATTCTAATTTTGTATAGCCCTTTATTATAAATATCCCAACGACCCTTGACAGAAAAAAGTTCCCTCTCCCTGCATAGGACCTTCAGTCATCAAGGATAAATATGTATTATATATGCTTGTGTGTATTAAAAGGTGTATCTTATAGTTTTATTAAGAATTTAAATGTCTATATTGGTATTCTGATTATTAACCTGTATTTTTCTAGCTTCCAATTAGTTAACTTTCATGATTGGATGCAATTTGAGTAACAATAATTAAAGTACCCAGTAATTTATTCTCATAAATCTATTTTTTTATTTTTATTTTTGTTTTTCTTTGTGGGGCTTGAACTCTGGGCCTGGGCACTGTCCCTGAGCTCTTCAGCTCAAGGCAAGTACTTTACCACTTGAGCCACAGCGCCACTTCTGGTTTTCTGGTGATTAGTTGGAGATAAGAGTCTTGGGGAATTTCCTGCCCGGGCTGGCTTTGAACCACGATCCTGAGATCTCAGCTTCCTGAGTAGCTAGGATTACAGGCATGAACCACCGATGCCCAGTTGTTTTAAGTTTGTTTTTTTTTTTTTAAGGAGAAATTTTGTTTTAATTGAAACCTTTTTCTTGAAAAAAATCTAACTCTGTAGACAACAATCACGGGGATGTTCACATGTTCTTATAATTCAGAGAAGCACTTGCAGTTAGATGCACATTCAGGTTGCTCCCATTCCCCTGTCTGCAGGATGTCTGTGGGCGCTTGTTGTGTCCTGTGTTGCAGAAGAATAGGGACCTCCGCTCCCCTGCCAAAAAGCCACACAACATACTGGAAAGATATCCGTGAGTACAGCTTAATTATAACATTTTCTAAGAGAGACAGTGATGGAATTATGTATACATTTCCAGGCCCCATTGGACCACAAAAACTTAAACCTATGGTAAGTCTCCTTTTTTTTTTTTTTAATATCGGTTGTGGGGTCTGAACTCCAAGTCTGGGCGCTGTCCCTCAGCTCTTCAGCTCAAGGCCTAGCGCTCTACCACTTGAGCCACAGCACCACTTCTGACTTTTTTTTTGCTTATGTGGTGCTAAGGAATCGAACCCAGGGCCTCATGCATACAAGGCAAGCGCTCTACCACTGAGCCACCTTCTAAACCCTCTATACTAGTGGTTTACCTTAAATTTCTAAGCCGGGAGCCAAACATGATTGTTTTTCTTTGAAGTTCTTTCTTCTCCCATTTTTTCCTGTCAAATTCGTACTTATAAATGTAAATATCACTGCATTCTTATTAAGCTTTTGCAAAACAGGGTAAGGTGTCATACATCTCTGTCAGGTTCTAGAAATAGAGAGTGAGCAAGGGGTAAACTATGACTCTTTTCTTCCTGCTGATTGTGGGGCTTGAACTCAGAGCTTGGGTGCTGTCCCTCAGCTCTTTTGCTTAAAGCTAGCACTCTGCCACTTTGAGCCACAGCACCACTTGGTCTTTTTTACTGAGCTTGTGATCTGCCTCATCTACCCCAGACTGTGGCCATGCCTCTCTCAAGAAACTTCTCTGGAACTCTCAGCCAGGTTAGATCTGTCATTTGTCATGCAATAGAGTCCCGATATGGCATGGTTAATTATCTGGTATCTCCCATGAACTCTGAACTCCGTGAGGGCAGTGTCTTGTTCATCCCTGGTTCTATTACTGTTGGTGCCATACAGAGGCTCTTCAAATCATATTTGGTGAATAGAAGAATGGGATAACTGCCTGTTCTAAGCTCTCTTGTCTATATTTGTAAAATGAGAGTATGGGTTGATAACAATAGATTATATTAATAATCAGAATTTTTACCCAAATACATATGAAAGACACTGTTGCCTATTTCCTGACACATTTTTGAAAATGAATTTCATCCCATTGAATTTTTCTTTCTTTTTTGCAGGAAATATAATAAAATTGACTGGATCCCTTATTTTAGGGTAAGTGTTTTCTGCTGACTATTTCTTGGCTTCATGATATTATCCAAAATCTCAAGGAAGTGACTGACCACTAGGTAGCCGGGAGTAGCTAAAGGATGCGGGTTTGATGACTGGTTCTCCTACTTCAGGTTATTTTGATCCAGACACTCTGCTTTCTGAGGAATGCTTTTCTGGGCCCAAATGTGCACTGGGGATTTTACCCTCTGATTATTCTGTTGATGTGAAGGGTCACACGCGACTGCCTTCCATCAGCCTCCTGGAGTCACAGCTTGTGCTAGGAAAGTCGACCTCATTACAGCACCGCAAAGCTGTCCTGAAAGAAAATTGAGGCACTCAGAGAAAACATATTGACATCTGTTGTATTTGTGCAGTGACCCTATTTCTAGTAACTAGTTTTCATTCTTTATTCCTTTCTGAGTGAGGATAAGTATGTGAAGTATATATCTAACACTACTATATTTGCTAACACTTGGTTTCACTAGTATAAATATAAAATCAACTCATACA